ATATATATATATATATATACACACACATACAAAACTAAAAAGAGTAAACTTCTTCAACATAACATTAGACTTAATGAATAACAGAAAATCTTATACTAATCCCTTGTATGTACACTCCAGGACAAACTATTCTCCCTCTATAATTAAGCACATACCATCATCAATTGAGAAAAGAATTAGTATGTATTCCGCTAATTTTTTTATTTTTTTGAAAATTTCACCCCAAGCTAGGTGGAAGCCACTAGTACGCAAGGGGTTACAGAGAGTTGGAGCAAGAGCAAAGAGGTGTGATAGAGGAAAGGATGAAGAGAAGGATAGTGGATAGATCAAGGCCATCTGCAGGATGGAGAGCAAAAAAGGAAGAAGATGTAGCTTACAGCATTGAGGAGAGACACTATACGGATGGTCTGGAGATTCAAGAGACAGCTCTCTAGCCAGCGGGAGATGGTCTTTGATGTAAACTCTAAGGCCATGCATGTGGGTTTGAGAGTCTTTTCTGAGGAGAGGAAGGTAGCCGGAGATTGAGAGGTCAGAGGAGGGGATAGATGAGTCAAGGTTGGTCTCACAGAGAGCCAGAATAATCAGGCAGTTTGCAATGAGGAAAGATTCCACACTGCAGAAATTGGTTCAGATGCCATGGATGTTAGAAAAGGAAATGTTAAAGGGTTTAGGTGACTTTTTAAGGGCTGGTTTAGGTTTTCTTTTTGGATTGTTGTTAGTTATCATGAAAAGTAATTATGGTAGTAAAAATGAGAAGGCCTGAAGTAGAAGAAGCAGACGGTTTATCAACTGTGATGTGGGCAGAGAGAAGTTCGCGCAGCCTGCAACATAATGTGGCCTCAGGGTTGCCCATCAGAAGTGAATGTAGGGACACCTTTCCATGTGCAACTACAGAGAAAAGGAGAGGGAGAGTTCCGGAAAACCCTACCTAAACAAGAGACAAGGTGTGAGGCTCTATTGTCCAAGAGAAGAGGGAAGTGCATTGACCGGACGGTAGGAATGCCTACCTACTCCTATTACATATGCACACACACACACACACACAAAAAAAAGCCACAGCTGACAAGAAGTCCAGGTTGACAGCTGAAGATCCATTACAGTAAGTTTTAACTTAAAATAAGTCCCATTGTCCTATCCTAAAAACAAATTTGGTTATCCAGCATTGTGTATATGGCATATAATTCTACTTACATATGGCAGCTAGTGATCACTGATGCCGTCTTCGATTCTCATGGTCAGCTGGTAAATTGTTGAGGCTGACTTTTTATTACCAAGCCTTTATATTTCAAAGAACACAGAGCTGGCGGGGGGTGATCGTTCCACCACCACCAAACACTGGCTTGGGGTCTTTGCTTTCAATAAAATAAAACTGACAACTGGAAGAGAGATACAGCCAAACATTTCCTCACTAGTCTGTATTATATCTAGCAAAATAATTGTTCCACTAGTACATAAGTATACAGATGAGTCATGATCACGTGCTGTTCAAAATGATTTTTTGTTTTATTGTTTTTTATTTGGAGGGCAGATCTCCAACTAAGCGACTTTCAAGGTTACAAATTAGGTTAAAATATTAGAACACAAGAAAAATAAATTAATTAATTAATTAAATCAAATTAATAAAAATAAAGTGCTAAATTAGCAAATACAGAAAAGAAGAGAGAGAGAGAGAGAGAGAGAGAGAGAGAGAGAACCCTTTGGGCAAATTTTGGTAAAGTGAATTCTACTTACATATGGCAGCTAGTAATCACAGACGCTGTCTTCCATTCTCATGGTCAGCTAGTGAATTGTAATGAAGAAATATTCTATAAGCATAGTCATTTTTACAATCAAGCTCTAAAATATAGTGTCTACAAACACCCTAACATCAATTATATAAAAAATAATAGTACAAACCAGTGGAAAAACAGAAAAAGAAAAATCATTGGGTATCCCCCCTCATTCAACCAAATGATTAGTAATAAGCTAGGACAAAAATTCTGAGTTTTAATTGAAAAACATTTTCCTAATAATAGCAAACTTAGCAAGATTTTTAATAAAAACACCTTAAAATTAAGTTATAGCTGTACTGAAAATTTAGAAAGAATTATAAAAAACATAATAATAAAATCTTGAAAAAATATGTATGCCAAAATGAAATAAATAAAAACCCTAAAATGAAATTAGAGAATAATAATAATAAAAAAATTATGTAATTGTAGAAACCCTGAAAATTGTCCTTTGATTAAAAAATGCCACATAAAATCTGTGGCATACCAATGCACAATCTCATCCATTTAGAATCCAAATATTGAAAATATATATATATATATATATATAGGATCCACAAGAAATTAATTTGGATGGAAACTACACCGAAGCTCCTTCAATAATATTAGAAACCGAAATCAGACATCCCTATCTAAATAAAACACCAACACTAAAATGGAAAATAATAAATAGAACAAGAACATGTAGAACCTGGGATGACCCATGCTCTTTATGCCTACATGAAAAACTACACATTATCAAGTTTCGAAAAAACAAAAATTTATTAAATCAAAGAAATGAAATAGCATTTTTTTGCAGGCACCACCAAATAGTCACCTTAAAAAATTATTATTTTATAAATGTATAAGGAAAAAATTCACAAGAGAAATTAAATCCTAAAATAAAAAAATTCTACAAAGCCTTATGTAAATAATTACACAATACTATATAAAATCTATTAGTAAATTCAATTAAAACTATAGGTTTAAAAATACAATGCAATCATAATCTTAGCACCCCTTTAAGGAATCATCAACAAAAAAACAAATAAATAAACACTAAAAAGACTGTAACTAGAACATCAATCAGTGTGAGTTTTAACAGATCGTAATAAAAACAACAGAGCCTGATAGAAATGGCCATTGTAGCCAGACAAAAATCCCCCAACCCAACCTTTCATGACTCCAAAAACTTGACATATAATAAACATTCCTACTTTCATCAAAACAGAGACCCCTTGATAATGAAAAACAAACCCCAGATTACACCTCTATTTCCCAACTATAAATGAGTAAAACATTAATATGGAAATTAAACTTTAGGATTTGAGTCAAGTTTTGAAACCTAGTAATTTCTGTGTTGTGATGGAATCATAGTTTTAAAAAATAATTATAATTTTAAACTCTACTTCTGTATCGAGCACTGTTTTTTAAAAATAGAAAGAAAAATATTAAAGAACTTTGGATCATAATTCTAACTGTTCTTTCCTATTACATCATTACACACACACACACACACATATATATATATATATATATATATATATATATATATAAAGCCAGAATGTCAAACCAGATATGGCAGATTTATAAAAGTGAAAGCTGGATTGTGGTGAGAAAAAATTGTCTGGCATGACTCAGTAAACCAACATTCTTAGTTGCCGACCTTGTAACTGATTCAATATCATGACTTCACTTCATGTCAGTGAAAAACATGAGACCAAGAAGTCACAATGAGTTACTCTCCTGGAGGTTAGCATCAGCCATGCTGATGGAAGGCAAAGATGGTTCTCTGTGATGATTGAAAGATAGCAGTTTCATTGGTTTTTATCCTTAAATTTATACTTACGTCTAATTATAGATTGCAGTATTCTGAAAGAATGATCGGCTCCTAACTCCTTCTGCCTTGCTTTATCTTTACAAGAGCCTAACCAGACCCCGAAATGGAATATTACTATCATATCTGGCTTGGAACTTCTCAATTCTCACTTTCCATCCTTGATAGAGGTTAGCAATTTTTACAGTTTTTTTTCTGGACGAAAACTTATTTTCCACTCTTTTCCCACAAACACAAAGTTGCAACCTTATGGCTACTCTATCATTATTTCCATGGCAAACATTCAGATGAGCTCCATTCTTTAGTTTCACCAGTTCAGACATTTTCTTCTATGGATTGCCATGCAACTTCTACAGAATAAAATCACTCTCATTTCTTCCATATTCCAAATGTAAGGAAAAGTTCCACTTAGACAACTTTTTATTCGAGAACTGCTACTTTGTGAAATAGACTCACACATTGATGCTCCTCAAAACACTACAATCTTAACCTCTTCATATCAATGGTTAATCACAATTAAACACAATTTTCATCATAAACTTAATTTCCTACCATCTTCACTTTCATTCATATCTCACTTCATTCATCATAACCATTTTAACAGTAACCCTCTAATTTGAGTAGCTCTCGAGCCCTGTATTGGGTGAACTTTCATATAATAAAAAAAGTAGAAAATTTGCTAGTATTTTGTATCTACTTATCTTTTGGGAGTATTCTTAACTTTCTAAAACACCTTCCAAAGGTGCACTGTGATAGTGAAAGATGGCTTCCACAAGCTAAACAGGAAAATCTTGTTAGAAATAAAGAATAGAGTACTAAACTGTTATGTAATGCTGGACCTCATATATGGCAGTGAATGCTGGGCAATCTCCTCACAGATAAAAAAGAGACTTGAGGTAACAGAAATGTGGTTCTACAGAAGGATGCTGAGAATATCATAACTGAACATGTGAGCAATGGAAAAGTTTTAGAAAAAAATGGAAACAAAAAGGTCACTTATATTTTTAATCAGAAGAGAAAGTTGAAATTTCAAGTCCGCATAAAAGAAGAGGTCTTAAAAATTTGACACTGACAAGACATATTGAATGCAAGAGAGACAGCAGGACATAACCTACCTAATGAGCTTGTGTAAATGGTTGGTAGAACAGGAGAGTTATCAATTAGACAGAAATTTATTAAGAGTTACAAAGGACAGGAAATTGTGGAGAGTCATCATCACCCACATTCTAAAGGGACATGGCACATAGAAGAAGCTTGTACATTATCAGATTGAATCAGATTAGACAAAAATATTGACAGTAAGATATGAATACATATAGGTACCCTGTTTTATTCTTAATGACATTATTTATTATTTTTATGTTTTGGCTGAAGTCATTTATACTTTTATGGTGGATTTTGGATTTATTTTTTAGATCCAGTTGTTAAGAACCTTGAAATGCCACTTCCAACATATATTTACATCCAACAAGCTGCTGCTGCAAAGACAATTGGGTAAGTACTTCTGTATAAATATCTACTAAGTTTAGATCCAGTGACAGGACCCAAAGAGTGTGAGTTCAATACCCGGTTAAGGCAGTGGAGAACTTTCAGAGGGAAATTAACAGGAGATAACTGATAACTGACATCCATTAAAAATGGCACCTGGAACTAGAACAGTCTACCTCAGTGAGCGAAATAAAGGGTTCAGTTTGACATTCCAACCACCTGAATGGCCCAAAACGTTGTAATAAATATGGTGACAAAGATGAGGACAATAGTCCAAATAATGTAAATAATGTAAGTTTAGATTTGTTAAGTCACAAGATTTTGATCATTGTATTCTCCAGCCTTCTATAGGTGTCTACTGTATTTGGTTATGTTCTGAGAATCCTGAACAGAGATTTATTTTTTGTGACAATGGTCTCATGGATGTGCATTTACTAGTTATTGATGCAGAATGTGCAATTGACTTCCCAAGTTCAAATTTTAGCTGAATTTGTTGCACTGTTAAAGTTATGAATCTTTGGCATATTTTCTTTTCCTAGCAAAAGCAAACTAGCTTTGGTTGCCCACCAGTCTAGGAGAAGAACAACTCTGAATTAACAAACCAATTGGATATGGGATTGGCAGTTTTGTAAAAAATAACAGCAACACCTAGTGTAGTGAGGCTGTGGCCCTATGCTTTATAGGTGAGTTGAATGATGCTAAGGAGGGTATTAGTTAAATTTATGCAGTTACATAGGTTTTCAAGTGTGTCAGGCATTAAAAATCATATATGCTGATTTACTGTAAAAAGCAAATGTAACATTACAAGATGAATTAACAAAAACATTAACAAGTTATTTTCCTTAGTACGGACAGTGGACGGAGAACAATCTACCCTCAAGAATTGAATAAAGGGTTTTATTCATAATTCCCAGAATTTTTCTAAATACGACAGCTGATGAAGGCCAGAGAGTACAACCACCAAAATGCTTTGACTATATTGAGTGATTTGTTTTTTTACAGCTTATTGACATTTTGCAGCCAGAAAATATTTAGATTGTGAGAATTTTTTGAAGATGATAATGATTTACTGATAAAAGTCCATCTAATTAAACAATACCTGGGTGGGTGGGGAGAGAAAAGGGAAATTTATACCTTCTCTGTTTGAGTGTAAGAGAATATAACAAACCTGACTGGAATTAGGACTCTGCTCTCCGATTTCCAATTCTGAACCATCATCCATTTCACCACCTTCACCACATCTAAGCTCACCAGGCTCAGTGTTGCTTAATTTCAGTGATCGTATGAGAACCAGTGTTTCAACATGTTATGTCTATAAGTATCTCACTATAATAATCAAGGATATGAGGATATAAATCAGTGTATAAAAATAAATGCTTACCATTGCTATTTTCTTGGTAATTAACTTGGGGAAGGCATTTATCTAAGTATTTGCAAGAATATAAATGAAAAAATTTCTTGATAGCCCCCTTTTAAATAAAGGGAAATACCTGTTTTTTTTTAATCAAGTTCATCCCATGCAAGGCAGTAAAGCTACTAAGATACAAGGAGTTACTGGGTGTGGAAGAATTAGAAACAGAAACATTACTAATGAGTGAGAACAAAATGAGTAATCAGGAGGAAAGTAGATAGCAATTGATATTGCATTTAAATTTTTGAAGATTAAAATTGGCTGGAAAGCAAGAAGCCGGAAGAGAGTGCTACAAGCGAGAAGTGTGAGAAAGGAAACTTTTAGCATACAATTTACAGTTACATCTAGCCAACTCAACTGAAAATTGATGAGATTTCTATACTAGTCTAGTACTGCGCTTAAATTCAAAAAGTCTAGATACCATAGTGAAGCGTTCATCTCAACAATTACCGTAAAAGTATTTATAGAAAAGGCACAGGAAAGCAACTTTATGTTGGTGAGAAAGTGACTGAAGCCGAGCCACCAGATCAGGACCAATAATATTGCTGATTCTTTGGATTTTGTCCAGGAGCTCTAGGTAAATAACAGGAACACAGCACCATATGTGCCAACAATATTCTTATCAGGGGTGAATGGTAGACCTGTAGATATGTAAGATAAATTCTGGAGAGAAAATTGTTTTGTATGACACAGAAAACCAGTTTTCTTAGCAGCTGACCTAGCAATGGATTCAATATAGTCTTTCCACTGCATGTCAGTTGAGAACGTTAGCTTGAAAAGGCATAACAAGTCACTTCCCTGGAGGTTAGCATCAGCTATACTGATAGAAAGTAGAGAAGAATCTTGCAAATGATTAATAGAGAGCAATATAGTTTTGGAGGTGTTAAAATTAAGAAACCATCTTTTGCCCCAGCTAACAACAGACTGACAGTTGATTTGGACATCACCTGCTATTTTGACCTTATCAAACTGATCAGACTTACTGTTGAGTCAGGTGTAAATGGTTGTGTCATCTCTGTAGATACCCAGTTGAGATCTGATGCCATTGGAAAGGTCACTAATGAAAATTAAAGACAAAGTTGACCATGGATGGAGCCCTAGGGGACACCATCATTAGTATGAATGGATCTTGATGAGTGGTTGTTCAGGATAACTTTCATTTTATGATTTGATAGGAAAGACTGGATTAATTAAAAAAATTGTCTGGAGATACAGTAACTCTTCAGCTTATGGACTGGAGTCATTTTTATAAAATCAGCTGAAATAAAGCATATAATAATGATAATTAATCATCTCAAAAATTCTGATATAAATAATGAAGGATGGCTGGAGAGTACAATGGCCAAAACATTGGCAGTATAACAACAAAGATGCAAATGTCTGGTTGAAATAGCAAAGCATATAATAACGATAATTGCTCATTTAAAAAATCCTGATATAAATACCGAAAGAAGGCCATTGTACTTTCTAGCCATCTTTCATCATACTTATTATAAAACCCAGGTTGTGTGTGTGTGTATTTGTATGTTTATATATTGGATTGGATTTCCTACATTTTTCAACCGATTTCAACAAAACTTCACAGGACTACGTAAAATTACCTTGCAGTGGTTCTGATGGCGCCAAAAATTGGAAAAACACAATTGTTTTTGCATGAAATCAATTTGAAAACACGATTAAGAGGCATCGCGAGAATGAAAGGGGCACAACTCATATCGAGTTATACTTAAAACCCAGGTTGTTTGTGTGTGTGTGTGTTCATTTATATATGGGATCGGATTTCCTACATTTTTCAACCGATTTCAACAAAACTTCACTTTTTTTTTTGGCAGGTAGTGTTTCTTATTGTCTTGCACACTTTTTTCTTTATTTTTACATTCAGAATGCTTTAAAAATTCCATTTACAAGACAATTGTTTATAATAAAATTCTATTCAATCGGTAGACTCATATCGATTGAAAACAATGTTTTTGTTTGAGTTTGGGTTTGACCAATTCGTAAAAAAAAAAAAAGTAATTAAGACATGCGTGTCCGTCAACCTTAAACAATAATCTTTGTCAATTTTATTTTTCAGTCTTTATGATGGTCGATACTTGATCTATCTCTTACTGTTACATCCCCGGGCAATGCCGGGCTCTACTGCTAGTTATTTATATTAAAATTTTTTAGATGAGCAATTATCATTATTATCTGTTTTGCTATTTGAACCAGACATTTGCATCTTCATTGTTATACTCTTAATGTCTTGACCATTGTACTCTCCAGCTCTGTGGAACTGACTTCCAAGAGAGTGTTTTCCTTATCACTACACTCTTAAGTCTAGAATTAAACATTATCTTCCCTGCATATCCACATAAACTGTAGCTTTTCATTGTAAAAAACAAAAATGAATTTATTTGTTTATAAAATTTTGAATCTGAGATGTTTATCTTTATAAAGTATTTGATTAGAGAGTATTGAAGAGATATTCTCTTCAATACTCTCTAACCATAACACAAACATAACTTGTGAATCAGAAGCATTCTGATGAGGCGTAATAGTGAGTTTGATCTTCATTGGGTGCACCATACTTTCAGTCTTGTAACACATTTAAGCTATGCTTAGAAAATTATTTGGGCATCTTGACATGGTGTAATGGTCAGCAAACTTGTTTCGCTAGAACAATTACAACTGAGTAATGAGTTTGATCTTCATTGAGTGCACCATACTTTCAGCCTTGTGCCACATTTATGCTATACTTAGAAAATCACCATATCTTGTGAATCAGTTATATTTGACATTTAAAAAAAAATTCTTCTGCAAAACAATCATCCACTCAGGTGTATTTGTTTTTAAATCCTAGACAAGTTATTTCATGTTTGTATTCTATTAAAAAAAACATTTTATTTGTTGTTTCTTTTGCTTTAAAAATTTATGAGAGTAAGAAGAGAATTTATGAGAGTAAGAAGAGAATTTATGAGAGTAAGAAGAGAAAGGAATAAAAGGAAAGTGTTGGGAAGAGAATAAGAGAAGGAATGAAAAAAACATTTTGTTTTTTTTATTTTTGTACTTTTCTACTTTATAAGATTTTACTTGATCCCTTTTTCTCAGATTTCCATTTAGGTCCCTTTTTATGTGACCTAATCAAATACTTTATAAAGATAAGCATTTATTTGTGAAACTAAGATGGCACAAGAGAACAGCAATTTACGATTTACTCTCTTGTAAATAACACAGGTGGTTTAATGATGTGTATAAATTAAAGACAAACAAACCCAAAGGTGACATCATTATTAAAGTTATTATTGTTATTAAGTGAAAGAGCAATACAAAATATATGAATATATATATATATATGAGTTACTCTCCTAAGTAAAACAATCATAATGTAATTTTTTAATTCCTTGCAAACAGTTGCTACCAGGGATTTTGTTAATGTTCTTGTCTGTACGCTAACAAAATCCCTAGCAGCTTCTATTTATTATTATTAATAATAATAATGTGTCAAGGGCTAACAGTTCCTAAAAGTGGCATTAGTATTTTTGTCAGGGTTTTGCAAGCCTTCATGCATCAAACTTCTTATATATAATGTGATATATTTAGCTTTTATACTTTCCTTGCCCTCCTTGTCTATGTCCTGTGAAAGAATATAAGAACAACATTATTAAGGAGTGAGGAACAATGAAAGAACAGAGATTAAGAAGACAGTGGATAATGACTGATATTGCATTTCAATTTTTGAATATCAAAGTTGACTGGAAAGAAAGAAGATGGAAGAGAGTTCCACAAGTGAGAAGTGCAACAAAAGAAACTGTTAGCATAGAACTTATGGTTACTTCTAACCATTTTAATTGTAAAATGATGAGATTTTACTGCCAATCTAGTACAGTGCTTAAATTCATACCATAGATACCACACAGAAGAGTTTATTTGAATAATTACCATGAAAGTATTTATAGAAATGGCACAGGGAAGCTACATTATGGCAGTAGATGATTTTGATTGTAAAACTTTAAATTTAATTGAAATATTGTCTATTTCTATTAAAATATCCTTAAATAAAACTTATTTTTCTGGACTTTTCATACCGAGAACAAAACATGTAAACAATCTCACATATTAGAAATTCTATGTATCGATTGAATATATTTGCAACTGAATATTATTTAAATTATTTCATTGGTTTTATTATTTGCCAGTTTTGATCTCACTATTTCAGTATCAGTTTGATGCTGTGAAAAAGCACTTATTTATATAAAATGGAAAGAATGAGCTTGTGTTTTAAACATACTTCTTCTTTTATGTCATTCAGGATTTAGGCAATAATGGGCCTCCATATCTGCCTGTCCCTTGTAACTCTTAATATGTTTTGTCTTTTTGTTATTTCTCCCAGACTCTCTTCTGCCATCCATTTGCTGAAGCCCATTAAGTATGTCACATGTTGTTTTCCCCTGTCCTTCTTTCCCTCTATCTGTCCTGTGAGTATCAGATTTTCTAAGCCCCCCTTCCTCATTATGTGTCCCAGAAATTTCAACTGCCTCTTCCTGATGTTAAGCATAAGTTTCTTCTTTTTTTCCATTCTCTCCAAAACCTCATTGTTATTCACATGTTTGGCCCATGGTATCCTTAGCATCCTTTTTTTGGTCAGTGTTTGTTTCTATCTATCTATCTATCTATCTATCTATCTATCTATCTATCTATCTATCTATCTATCTTAAAATGTTTCTATCCTGTGCTTATCAAGTATAAAAAACTGAGTTGTAAAAGTCAATATCTGTATTTAGAAAAACTTGTAAAATTTATATTGGTAATGTTTTGTATAAAATTCCTGAAATATTTTAATTTAAAAAAAAAATTGATTTAAATATTATTCTTTCTTCTTGGATTTTTATTCTCTTTTAAATTAGCATTGGATTTTTTTCTGAAAAATGTATAATAAATATGTAACAATTTGAACTCATGTTCAGACCAATGCAATCATTAGAAATGATTTTCCAAATATAATCAATGCTTTGAATGATAATTGCATTTACATTCATGTATGATATCATAACAAACCACCCTCATTCACTTCATATTCCATTCGTGAGATGTAAGTTCCATACAAGCAGCCTTTTCCCATGAGCTGCTGCTTTGTGCAACTGACTCTTTCCCTGGTCTCTACAATAACTTAGTCTATGGATAACCATTATCTTCCCCATATATTGCATAAACTGTGCTTTTACTCTGTAACCCACTATTTTGAGTGGCTCTCAGGCCATATATAAAGTGAACATCAGTGTGAAAAATTATATGTATGCTTTTGTTTGCTTATACGGTTATCTGCTCTGGTTGCTAAGTGAAGTGTAAATGGAGATCCCCCATCAGCTTTTTTAGGAGAGAAAAAATGTTATATTGTCAACACATTTTTTTATCATCAAACAATGAATATTATATACTTGTCCTATTTTTTTTTTAACAGGTTGCTCTGCAAACAAAATCCTGATTGGGCTAACAAACTGCTTCAGGTGAGTGTACTTAGTAAACATATTATTATACATTTTCTTTATAGTGAAACAGTATAATTCTATTGAAATCTTAGTAAAGATTGTGCAATAAAAACTGTTGATCCTTTTTTACAATTCCATGAAGTCAATAGGAAAATGTGTTCTTCCATAATGCTGGATAGAGACATGAGATTCTTGTAAGAGATCAAGTTCTATACAATGCATATTTTTGGCTTAGAGTTCCAAATTATTCAATGATAATACGAATGACATTTCTGAACTTACCCACTATGGCAAATACCTGGAGATGTCAGTGTTAATGAGCTTGTTTTTTACTAAGTGCTCTTAGATGTGACCTTGTGCCAGTGTTGGCTTTATTTAATAAATATATTTATAAATATTCTAATGAATACAATGCATAGCAGAATTAAACCAGGAATAGGACAAGAAATGTTAAAGACACTGGAACAAGAAATTTAAGATGTTTTGCATTATTAGAAAAACATTCTTGGTTGTAATAAGCCTTTATCTTCCAAATAAAATCAATTTGTTTTGTTTTGGTTAGTGTTTATATCTATCTATCTATCTATCTATCTATCTATCTATCTATCTATCTATCTATCGCAGTGCTTTCATATCTATCTATCTAAATATGCAATCGTATAGATATTAGGGGAAAGAAGTAAGACCAAATGGAAAAAGTACATCATCAGACTAAGTTTATGCTTATGTTGTTGCGACTATACATGTGCATGAATGAAAGACATGCTGTAAATTTTAAATTTAGAATAATCTTTTTTTTAATATATGTTTTGGCAGATTTTCTATTATCACAATGTAATTTAATAACAAAAATGATGGAAACATTAAGCAAAAAAAGAAAGAATCTAAATTAAATCAACTAGATTATATACTCAAAACACATATTAAAAAACCAAAAAAAAGTTATTTTAAATATAATCCTCAGCATTTCTCTTTCATTCATGTGTATGTGTAATTGCATCCATGTAAACATAAACATAGTCGGATGAATTCCTTAAGGACAAAACACATTAAATAAAAACTAAACTATTTCTACTTTGTCGTACCTCTTTCCTGTAAAATATATATATATATATATATATATAAAATTGTTCTTTATATATAAAGAATTTATATATTGTTATCACACATGTATATATGTGAAGCTTGGAATAAACACTCCTAGTAGTATTCAACACAAAACAAAACACATCAAATACAGTCAAACATGAAGAGAAATTAACAACACCAAAAACAAACCTTGAAACTGGCTAAAAAAGTGTCTGAAAGCATTTGGGACAATGGACAATACGAACAATTTTTGTAATTCCTTACTCCCACCAAATGGAAAAATGTAAGAATGCTGGAAAAACTAAATAAAAAGTTAATGAAATTTTGCTTGTCTGTTATATACAATGAAACATGTTTAAAAGAAAGGTTGCTGCAAATATAAATATATATATATATATATATATATATATATATATATATATATATATATATATATATGTGTGCAGGTTGTCTGGCTGTTGGTTCCTAGGAACTGAGGTGCCTGACCCTTATACATTGTAAAAGGGTCCCCGGTCGGTGTGGGTCAACAGCCTGCATCGATCAACGATGGGAGATTCCACAAGATATATATATATATATGTATATATAGACATAAACAAGTATTGAACACAAGATGTTTTAAGAATATATTTATGCCTAGAAATCATGTGTCTAATACTATGTTGCTATATCAAGTAAGTGTAAAGCAAGTGAATGTAGAAAAATCTTTTTATTTAAATGTTAATATTTTCTATTTTATGTGAGTATAAAAAGCCCAAATTAAAACTGGAAAGTCATTACAATGCCAACCTTTTTATACAAACTGTTTTGGTTAATTTGAAATATTCTAGTATTTCTAATTTGAAATATTCTTTCATCTCAAGCAAGGCAATAAACCACTAAGGGATTACTGAGTGTAAGAGAATATGAGAAAAAGAAAACATTATGAAGGAGAGAGAACAATAAAAGAACAGGAATTAAGAAGACAGACAATAACAATTGATATTGCATTTAAATATTTTGAAGATCAAAGTTGACTGGAAAGCAAGAAGCTGGAAGAAATTTCTATAAGTGAGAAGCGTGAGAGAAAATACTGTTAGCATTGAAAATTATGGTTACATTTAGAAATTTCACCTGTAAAATGATGATACTTAGCTGTTAATCTAGTCCTGTGCTTACATTCATAAACATGAGGTACGAAAGAGAAAAACTCATTAGAACAATTACAATGAAAATATTTGTAGAAAAGGCACAGGGAAGCTTTATTATGGTGGTGGGAAAGTGACTGAAGTGAAGATACCAGGTCAGTACCAATAACATTGCAGATTCTTTTTTTTTTGTTAGAGATGATATTTACTTTAGATTTATACAGTTAATATATCTTGGTATAAAATGTGAAATTACTGCTCGGAGCCATTTTTTTGTAACCCTTCACAAGCCTTCCAAACATTCTTTTGAAATCCTGCCACACATTTTCTTGTAAATAACCTTCAAATCCCTCCAGGCAAATGGCAAATTTTCAGACAAATCCTTTTCTTTTGTACCATCAGTTGAGACCTCTTTAAATAAGAACTACTATATTATGTCTACAGAGTCAAATCACCCTCATTCCCAATTGTAAGTTGGAAGTTCCACTCAAATAGCATTTCCCTAAGAACTGTTACTTTGTGGAACTGGCTGCTGTGTGGATGCTTCCATGGACACTACAATCTTAACCACTTCAAATCAATGGTCAATTGTTATCTATCCTTCATATCTTCATACTATTTACTTCCTGCTACCTACTCTTACATTCATATTACACACCTCATTTAGTAACTGTCTAACTTGAGTAGCTCTTGGGTTCTGGGTGAACTTTAGTAAAAATATAGAAAATAAACCAAAAACTGTAGTCAGCAACAAAGTGTAAGAATAATTGCTTTCTGATAATTTTTGAACTTTGTAATACTAAAGCCATCTTTTTCTGTTTCTATCAATTATCTCAGCTCGGCATTGTACCAAAACTGATGCATGGCTTAGGAAATGCAAACTATGCTGATAGTCAAAGACATTGCAGCATGACACTGGAGGTAAGACATATTCAAAGACTATTGTCCATTTTCATGAGTGACATAAATTGATTTTCATTCCAATTGAAATGAATAAAATAGAATGTTCCTTGATTTGCACATCTTTTGTTTCAATCTCAGTTATTGGGATTACATGACAAATAATAGCAAGTGGCTTTCAACCAAGATAACAAACAAATGCTTTGTTTTGTTCAAACAGTATTTGTGCCAGAATTATATAGCTGTAGCAAGTGAAGTACAGGAAACCCTTGGCGACAACGTCTTTCACATGCTAATGGTGAGTATTTAAAGAGTTTGTCTTTTAACTAAATTATAATAAAATACATATGCATTATTATTAAATGATTCCTTTCTTTAAAAGTCAATAATTGGAGTAGAGAATTTGACTGTAGTAAATGGATATATAGTTTGGTCCACACTGTAACCAGGACCTGCAGTACATACACTAATTTTATACCTCATGTATGATGCAACCCCCTTAAAATTAGCTTCAAAATTAGGTCTTTAAAAGTTGCATGATAACAAAAATATTTTTTCAGTAAGTTTTTCTTTTATGAACCAAGCCAAAATATATCAATGATACACTTTTTAAAATAATATAAAATAATAATAATGCATAATATAACATAAAACAATAATAATAATATTGATATAAGTAAACTTATATAATTCAATGTGTATCAAGGTAAACAGGATTTCTACCAATAAAGTGCTTGATAGTAATCTAGAGCAATAATTATGAAATCAAAAGTAGTATAAGTTCACCATACTTATTGAAGGTTGACTCAGAGTTTTGTGATTTCTCACTCATCAGGAAGTGGATAAGAATGATTGTATTAATTACAAAATGTCTATTTTATTATTTTATAAATGTTTATTTATATATGCTAACTTACCTTAGTCCTGATGTGTGAGAAATCACAAAAACTTGACCTTCAATAATAAGTACTTATATTACTTCTGATTTAATAATTATTGCTGTATATGTCTTCTTTATTTGCCATATCCTCTTAAGATGTAGGTGATCCTGGCTCTTTACAACTTGCTATCCCTTGCAGCTCTTAATAAGATTTGTCTTCCTATTTATTTCTCTAAAAGTCAGTTCTGACATGCATTCTCACTCTCTTATCTTTAATCTGTGAGTATCTGATTTTCCAAGTCCTCTTTTCTCATTATGTGTCCTAGAAATCTCAACACTCTCTTCTTGATGTTAAGTATATTTCCCTTTTGTTCTATTTTCTCTAAACCTTTGCTGTTGCTCACATGTTCGGCCCATGGCATAATCAGCATCCTTCTGCAGAGCCACATTTCTGTTGCTTCAAGTCTCTTCATTTCTGATGAGGATTGTCCAGCATTCACTGCCATAGACAGATATCACATAACAGTTTAGTACTCTTTTCTTTGTTTCTAGTGAAATTTTTCCATTTCTTAGTACTCTGCTTAGCTTTTGGGGTGCGTATTTGTCTATTCCAATATGCCCTCAGATACCAGTGTCACACTTTTGGTCCTCTGTTAAAACACTTCCCAGATATTTAAATGTTTGCACTTTTTTGAATCTGGTATTTTTGTTTTGCAATTCACACTTTGGACTTTTTGTTAACTGAGCACTTTATTGGCAGAAAATCAGTTTAACCTGGTATATGGTGAATTATATAATTTTATGTACATCAGTAGGTGGCATTATTATTATTTTATTATTATTATTTTATTTATGTTATTTTACATACATACATACATACATAAATACAACCACCTTGCTTGAGTTGAAAAATAGTGCATGAGCTTGAAAATTTGCTATGTCAAAAGTTGAGACAGGATTATGGATTTGTGATTTAATTGAATGTGTCTCATTAATTCTTTGCCAGCATTTGTTGCTTACTTTATGAATGACAAAAAAAAAAATAATAACTTGATTTTATTTGATCTAATTTCTTTCTATAAAGTTAATTTCATTTTCATTACTTACCCAACACTAATTAAGGTTTCACACTGGGATTGAACTCATAATCATCATCAGTGCATTAAAGGTCTTTTTAATGGTGAGATGAATACGATCTTTGAACAAGTTTTATTCCAAAACTTCTCCACCAGATGAGGAATTTAGTCAGTCAGTTAAGTGCCATATACTATTGGCTATAGGGTGCAGTCTGTCCTGCTATTCAGCCCATAGCTAGGAAGAGAAGAGATATGGATTCATTCCTTTTACATGAGTATTTGTGTACAAATGAATGTAATGAATCTGACTGCAATTTGAACTTGGCTCCCTGATTTCTCATTTTGAGCCAATATCCATTACACCACAACTCACATGAGTAATTATAAAAACAAAATTCAATTATATATACTGTCCCATATCATGGAGGTGATGCAGTTTTTAATCTAAGTGTTAGTATAATATATGCAATATTATATTATACCGAAACTTAGATTAAAAATGCCATCATCTTTAGTACTCTAGCATTTACAGACATCTGCACATAGAGAAACAAAAAGGGGCAGTGGAAAACTAAAAGAAAATCTCATATTATAATTAATTTATTATATGGAAGTCTGTAAATGTTAGACTACTGGTGATAATGCTATTTTTAATGTAAGTTTCAACATATTTGCAGATATCTGTAAATGTTAGAGTACTGGAGATGATGCCTTTTTAATGTAAATTTCAGTATAATATAATATGTTCAGATGTCTATAAATATTAGAATACTTAGGATGATGCCATTTTTAATGTAAGTTTTAGTATAATATCATTTTTTGCTACCAACATTTTCAATAGTCTTGCCAGTTCCATTGACATAGATTTTATCATTTCTCAGTCATCCAAGATCATTTTAGTGTAGTTCTATGATTTAGCACAAACAATTGTCTGATGACCTTTCAAGACAAAGTACTCTGCTGCACTTGCTTCTAATGCAACAATAATCATGCAAATCTTGCAAGTGTTTGGTGGTGAGTTTAACCTTAAGCTGGACTTAATAAATCTTAGCTGAGAAAGTCATAACTTAGCATATTGAAATATATTGGGACACTTTTCAGTTGAAATGCTAAATAACAAGATTTATTACTTCTTTTCTAAGGTGTGAAATACATTAATCACTCTTTCAAAATGCATTTTACAGATTAGATTTCAGTTATTTTGCCAATGTATTATTTTCATTATCATAATTTAAGTCCTGACACTCTAATTTGCAATTATAATAGGACTTTTAATCTACCCATGGGGTTACATAACCAATCAAATTTTCTGCTTTAGAGGTGAAATATATTTTTGTAGATATTTTGTGACTACATTAATAATAATCATGACCATAAAAACACTTGTTTTTGTTTACTTTTATTTTGTATTCTTGGCTGAAGAATTTATTATTCCAACTTGGCTGCAGTGTGCCTCTTTTTTATTTCTTATAATGTCTCTTTAATTTTTAATTCTTATGGCCACCTTATGTTGAAACACTGGTTCCTGTATGATCACTGAAGTTAATCCATTTTGAGCCTGGTCAGTATCTAGATTGGTGACCATTTGGCAATACCAGGTGCTGTAGGTTTGGATGTGCAGGTGGTGTAATGTATAATGGCTTGGAATTGTTAATCAAAGAACTGGGTTCCATTTCCAGTTGGGCTTGTTATATCCACTTACGTAAAAATACTCTTGGGAAAGGTATGAATCCAACTCGTCTCCCCCCAGTTATGGGTTAATTAGTAAAACTTGTATCATTAAATTATTATCTCAAAAAAAGAAATATATTCTTAGAATCTAAAAAATATTTTCTGGCTTTAAATAACCTACGAAGAGCTGATAGACCATAGAAAATGAATGAATGAATCAATCATATTAATCAGCAAAAAGAATATAGCAAAGACTTACCTCTATAAAAATCTGTATTGTATATTAGAAAAAAGGACCACTTGAAAACTTCTAACAACAGCAAAAAGGGGAGTATGTATAGCTAGAAAGGGAGATAATGGTATAATCTAGTTGTTGGCTTTCTATACTGCCTTAAACAAAAGCTTTGAAAGGAAATTCCTGTCAGTACATTAACAATACATTTGAGAAATCTAAGTTCCGGAAAAAACTATTTTAACAAAATGACTGCCAACCATCCCTCTCACCAATGGTTGGCAGTTTTTTATCATACTACAAGTTATCTCATGCTGACTACGAGTTAACCTTGTGCTTGGCGTTGTCAGATACATTTTCATCTGCATGTGCCAACAACAAATTCATTCACTGTGATATCTTTTAATGTGAAAACAATATTAAATCTCCAGTAGAAATCATAAATCAACTCCTAAAATTTTTTTATTGACTAAGTTGGCTATTATAAAATTGGCATTTAAAATCTGATTTTGTAATTGACCTCTGGCAATCAACGTGTTAAGAAAAAACTTTATAAATTTCAACCAATCTTAACACTAACTGTTCAATCAATGAATGTAGAAAATATACAATATTTCCTGCATGGAAACAGCTAATTTTGCCATTAACATTTCATTGAATTTTAAAGCAAAGTTTCCATTACTCAAGGCAGAGGGTTACAGAGTAAAAGGCACAGTTTATGTAGATATGTGAATAAGATAACAGTTAATGCTAGACTTGAACAGGTTAAGATTGTCATGATTGGGGAAACATCCTTTTGTGAGTCTGTTCCATAAAGCAGTCATTTGTGGGAAGAAACTGCTCAAGTAGAATTTATATCACACCTATGGAATATGAAGGGAATGTGGGTGGTTCAAGTGATTGTGGAAGCATTCTCTTGGAAATTGATACCACAAGGCAGTGGTTCATAGGAAGAAGATGCTTGAGTAGAATTTGCCTCTCACTAATGGAATATGAAGGGTAAGAAGCACAGTTTATATAGATATGGGAAAAAGATAACAGTTAATGCTAGACCTGAACAGGTTAAGATTGTC